GCAGCCCGCCTGCTCCCCGCCTCCACCCGTCGGGGAGCCCACCGCCTCGGCCACGCGCTCCAGCTCGCCGCGTGCCGTCTGCGCCGCCCTGGTGGGTGGGCCCCAACTCACCATGGTCGACACCGGGTGCTGGCGAGGAGGATCCGAGTGGGCCTGGCGTTGGCTGCGCTGCAGAACCAGCAGGGTCACACGGCGGGGGGGAAGCAGGCAGAGAACAGGCAGGCGCGGCATGACTCGTCCGGTGAGGCTACGCGAGGCGAAGACACGAGGCGCGGCCAGGCGGGGTGAGGTGAAGTGAGGCGAGGTGAGGTGAAGTGAGGCGAGGCGCCGCTTGGCTGCGCGGGCTCCGGAGCTGGGCGATGGAATGGTCTGCGCAAGCGCTTGGGCCACGGAGGGGGTTCCCCACCCCGCCACCCCCTCCCCTTTACCCTGCCAAGCCACGCCCCTGCCACGCCCCCTCCGCTCACCACCCGGCTATGCCCCGCCCTCACACAGGAACTCTCCTAGTTCTTATGCACCTCTCCTTGCATGTCACAGCCTAGACCCCCATCCCTGTGCCCCCAAACCCAGCTTCCTACCCTTCCCACACTGCCCTCTCCTCTACCTGCCCTGCCCAGCCCCCCAGCCCTACGACACAGAGTATCGCGATTTTCTGCTGGGTAAGGTGAGGTATTGAATACCCCAACATTTACTTCCCTTTATCTTTCTTTCCCCCCTACTTGTACCTCTCAATATGCCATTACTTCTCACTGGCAGAATTTATAGCATTTGTTTCTGTTCTCTAATGTTAATTAAATTTCCCATACACTGTCTATAAATTAATTCCCAACATTGAAAATCAAGTGCAAGTATCTGCCATATACTGATAATATAAAAAATATTCATGGCATGATCAAATACAGGGTTTGGCTCCAGTAAAGAAGACGATGTGATTGTATATCACTAAACTTGTAGCTCTTGAAGGAAAAATGGAATATATTGTGGTTTTCAAATTTAATGTCATGATAAACTTTTATCTGCTCTCTAAGAATGATCTAGTTTCTTCACACTATTTCATTTTAAACTTACTACACAACAGCATTCTAGGATTTCTTTTCATTGCTTTGTTTCTGCTACCTGATATCTTCCTCTTTTTTTTAGATTCCTGTTTCACTTTGCTGAAGTACAATCTTAAGCAGTTCTTTCAGAAAGGGTCTTAGGTGGTATGTTTCCTCAGTCCTTGGAAGTCAAAAAAATATTTTGCTACACACTTAAATGCTAATTTAGCTGGGTATAGAACTCTAGGCTTAAAATCATTTTCCTACAGGAATTTTAAGGGAATTTTGCTTGTTTTCTAGCATCTACTGTAACTGATAAGAAGTGTGATCTAATATGATTCTTACTCCTTTGCTGTAGCCTCTGTTTTTTTCTGCTTGGAATCTTTTGGTCTTTGGACTTGTGAAGTTTCTCTAACTTATGGCTAGTTATGGTTCTTTTTCAATTCATATAGAATTGCAGTGGGTGAGACGTCAATTCATATAGAATTGGATATTTCTTTAGCTCTAGAGATCTACTTCCATGTATTATTAATATCCTTTCCTCTATTTTCTCTCTTCTGTCTTCTTGAATCCTCACATTGGGTGGAAGGAGCAAGGGAGCTCTCTGTGGTCGCTTTTCTAAGGCAGTAACACCATTCAGAAGGGCTCTACTCTTGACCCAATCATCTCCCAGAGGCTATAACTCCTCATACCATAACACTGGAAGTTAGGATTTCAACATATGAATTTGAGGGGAAACATAAACATTCAGTAGATTGCATTTTGTAAGAAAAAAATGCAAAACGTCTCATTAATAAAGTTTTAGTTCTTAAAAATTCTCATCACAAGGAAAAAAATTTGTAAGTATGTATGGTAATGGATGTTAACTAAACTTATGGTAGAGATCATTTCTCAGTACATATAAATATCAAATTATTATACATATGAAACTAGAATAATGTTATATGTCAATTATACCTTAACTAATTTACTTTTTTATTCTTACTGATTATTTTGTTGAGGTATACTAATTTATAATATTATATTAGTTTCAGGTATACAACATAGGGATTGAAAATTTTTATGGATTATACAACATTTAAAGTTATTATAAAATATTGGCCATATTCTCTGTGCTGTACAATTCTCTGCACTTGTAGCTTATTTATTTTATGTGTAGTAGTTCATACCTCTTAGTCTCCTACCCCCTACCTCGTCCCTCCCCTCTTCCCTCTCCCAACTGGTAACCACTACTTTATTCTCTATATCTGTGAGTCTGTTTCTCTTTTGTAATACTCACTAGTTTGTTTTATTTTTTTAGAGTTCATATATAAGTGATTTCACACAGAATTTGTCTTTCTCTATCTGAATTATTTCACTTAGCATAATACCTTCCAAGTCTATCATTGTTGCAAATGGCAAATTTTCATTCTTTTTATGACTGAGTAGTATTCCAATATGTGTGTGTGTGCGCACACGCGCGTACATACCACACCTTCTTTATCCATTTATCTTTTGATAGACACTTAGATTGCTGTTATGAAGATTGGGGTGCATGTATTTTTTTGAATTAGTGTTTTAGGTTTTTTTCAGACATATAGCCAGGAGTGGAACTGCTGTGTCATATAGTAGTTCTATTCTTAGTTTTTTGAGAAATTTCCATATTGTATTCCACAGTGGCTGCACCAACTTGCATTCCCACCAAAGGGGTACAAGGGTTCCCTTTTCTCTACATCCTTACCAACTCTTGCTATTTGTTGTCTTTTTGAAAATAGCCATTCTGACAGGTGTGAGGTGATATCTCATTGTGGGGGGGGTGGATAAAACAAATTTAATTTTATCCTTTTGGACTACTTGAGGGTTTTTTCTGTAATTTTTTTAAACTGGAATATAGTTGATTTACAATGTGTTAGTTTGCAGTGTACAGCATAGTAATTCAGTTACACATATATACATATTCTTTTTCATTATAAGCTATTACCAGCTATTGAATATAGTTTCTTGTGCTATACAGTAGGACCTTGTAGTTTATCTATTTTGTATATAGTACTTTGCATGTGCTAATCCTAAATTCCTAATTTATCCCTCCCCTCTTCTCATTGTGATTTTGATTTGCATTTCTCTGATTAGTGATGTTGAACATCTTTTCATATGCCTCTTGGCCATCTCTTTTCCTTTCCCAACTAAAGACACTGGAGAGAGTGAAGGATTAAATGCTGAGAGGAATAATACCCTCTACTGCACAGTAGAAGCTGACAAAATAGGAAAGGGAGGCACTAGGTTGTGAAGAGAGGGAATGAATGCACGATGGCACACTTAAGTATTGGACACCTGTTTGTAGCCATGAGATTATGGGACAGCACAGCTGGACAAGAGATGTTAATGTATAATTGTTCCCAGACATTCCTCTCCCTCTATGGGCAAAAGAGGACTCTAGTTTTGCCTATTCAGTATTTTTCTCTCCCTCACCCTTCAAGATGGGGGTTGCAGGGGTCAGAACTATTTCTTTGAACTCTTGTAATGCAGAATCAGGAGGAAACAGGATGGACAAAGGACAAGAAGCTCAAGACACTATTGGGTGCAATTTTCTGAAGAGCTGAAAAGAAAGGAGTGCAAGAATTGCACTATGTAGGGAAAGTAGAAGGAAAACTGAAGGAGAATTTTGAGAAAAATTGTTGTGGCCTCCATATCTCCTTGGATATCTGAAAAGTTTAGATTAAAAACTTGAAATTTTGAAATTGTTTTGGGGTGACAAATTATATATTTCAATTGACATCTCTTAGCCTGGGCCACATGGTTGATGACTGTATTTTTAGACTATTTACACAAAATGTAAATAAATGTAGGTAATAAAAGGCAAAGACAGACATGTTAGATTTTTTTTAAAAAGATCCACCTATATACTCCCTACAGGAAACTCACTTGAAGATAAAGCTATAGATAGACTAAAAGTAAAAAGATGGAAAAGATACATTATGGAAATACTAATTACAGAAAGCTGAAGTGGCTACACTCTCAGGCAAAGTAAATGTTATCACAAAGAATTTTAGTACAATGAAGAGAGACATTTCATAGTCATTAAGGGATCGATTCAAAAGAGGACATTAAATTACTAAATATTTGTGCTCTTTTCTTAATAATAAAGCTTCAAAATACTTGAAGAAAAAACTGATAGAACCAAAAGAAAAAATATGCAAATCTAAAATTACAGTTGGAGAATTTAAAATTCCCCTTTTGATAACGTTTGTTTTCAATAAAACAAGTAGACAGAAAATCAGCATGGATGTGAAAGACTTGAACAACACCATCATATTGAAGTAATTGATGTTTGTAGAGCCCTGCATTTAAAAATACCCAATCACACATTCTTCCCAAGTACACATGTAATATTTACCAAGATAGAATATATTCTGAGCTATAAAAAAAAGTCACAATATTTTGAAAGAATTGAAACTCATGCACAGTACATTCTTTGACAACAATGGAATTAAATTAGAAATCAAAACCATAAGGTATCTGAAAAAAAAATCCTCAAATATTTGGAAATGGAACAACACATTTCTAAGTAACCCAAGGGTCAAAGAAGAAATCACAAGGGAAATGAGAAAATATTTTCAACTGAATGAAAATTGAAACACAACACATCAAATTTTGTGGGATGTAGCTGAAACAGTACTCAGAAGGAAATTTTTGGCATTAACCACATATATTAGAAAGAAGGAGGGGGTAATTAAATCTTTCATTTCTAATAATGAATTGAGAGACTTTGTTTATTACTAAAGACTTTCTTTCTCTCTAGATAGGAAACCAATGGAATATTGAAAGATGTTGGACTTTACAATCCTACAAATCCTGGTTCAATTCCTGGCTTTGTTAAAACTGTCACATTGGGCCACTTTTACATCCCTTCTCAGCCTTGTCAATCTCCCTGCTCGGCACCTTGAAGGCGATTTGACTTTAAAATTTAAATGCCAAATGCCATGACAAAGGAGCTGGAGAAGGATGAGGACCCGCTGCGCCGGCCGGTCACCGTCGCTCTGGTCGAGTCCAACAGTGTGAATCATAACAGAGCCTCAGGACTCTATGTCCAGAGTAGTGAGGCGCTGCATGTCATCACCAACGTGATCCACGCTAACGGGGACAGAGGCATCACTGTGGCCCAGAGCAGCCAGCTCACCCGTGTGGCCAACAACAGCATCTCCTGCAACCGCCAGAGTGGGGTCAAGGTAGAGGCGCAGTGCAAGGTGGAGCTCCGGGGCAACGGTATCTATGACAACAGAGGCCATGGCATCATCACCAAGGGTGACAGCACTGTCGTCATTGAAAATGACATCATTGGCAACCGGGGCAGCGGGCTGCAGCTCCTGCCCACGTCCGACACGAAGGTAATAAAGAACCGGATCCACTCATTCCGGGCCTACGGCATTGCAGTGCAAGGCCGTGCCAAGGCTCTGGTGCAGGAGAACATCATCTTCCAGGGCAAGACCAACAAGACATTTTCAGCAGATCTCAAACAACCGAGAATGCATCATGCAAAACAACAAGTTCTTGGTCTTCAAGAAAAAGTCTGACACGTGGCGCCTGGCAAACCCACCTGCACGGCCTCACCTTGAAAACTCTCTCCAAGGCCCCTCTGCTGCTCATGGTGGGCAGAAGGTGACAGCCATGGCGACCAGGATCACAGCCCATGTGGAAGGTGGTTACCACAGCAAACGCAGCATCTTCTGCACCATCCTGTGAGCAGGCAGAGCCACGGAGTGGGGCGGCTGGGGGTTGTCCGAAGACTCAGGGAAGCCAGCACGTACACTGCTCTCAGGCTCAGCCCTGCCCAGCCGAGCTAAGTGGGGTGCAGCCTTCGGGATGAAGAAGTCATGCTTATGAAGGCTCCAGACCCCTCTCTGTCTTCTTACCACCTCCCTGAAAAAAAGCAAGCTCCCAAGCCTTCTGGGGACTAAGAACAAGGTACCTACAAAACACTTTAATTCTACAACCCTCAGCAGGAAGGAACTTGGAATTATTTTCCAGAAAGAAAAAGGGAACAGAGTTTGGTGGGTTTCCAGTCCCTCAAGCTCTTGTAGAGATTATGAAGAGTTGCAGGAAATCAATACTGAAAAAAAAAAAAAAACCTTATGACATTCAGTTAACAACACCTACAGTTCAGGATTACTTCCAGGAGTAAATGCGTCTTTGGCATATATAGGATCACACAATGATATCATACTTTCCCATGTATCACCAACATGAGAGGGCAAATTGTGGGTTAAGGCACAACAAACAGTCAAAGTAGATCTAAGGAGCCATGTACAATACAGGAGTAAGGGAGTAAGACTTACAGACTACAAGTTATATGATAAGACACAGGATATATTGTACAACACAAGAAATACAGCAAATATTTCATAATAACTAAACATGGAGTAAAATCTTTAAAAATTGAGAATGAGTACATTGTACACCTTACAATATACTTATATAATGAACTTTTACAAGTTAACTTATATGATATTCTATAGCAAATGTATGTCAATAAAATTTTTTTAATTTACATTTAAAAAAAAAGGAGAGCCACACAGAAAAAATTGCTAACCCTAAGACATAGAATCAGCAATCATATTATTAGAGATACTCAAAGTACTGAATGACCTAAATCAAGATCTATAGAGCCTGAGTAATGAGATCATTTCTACCCTTGCATTTCCTTTTGTGTAGTGCCTGCCTTAGCATAAAATCCTGGACATTTTCATATAGTTTTCTCTGGTTATTTTTGGTTCCAATGTTGTTGACATCTGGGATAGCCTGTGGACCTCTCTTTTCTGGGAGCTGCCTCTCCCTCATCTACGTGATGGTGGTGGTAGTTATTATAATTAGTAGTGTAGTGGTAGCAATAGTATTTAACCCCTTTAATGTACCTATTATGTGCCTGGAACTGCTCTGAGCACTTCACAAAGTATTAACTCTCTTAATCCTCCTATACCCCTGTGAGGTAGGCATTGTTAATATACCCATTTACAGATGAAGAAACTGAACGACAGAAAAATCAAGCAAGTTGCCCATAGTTACATTAGTGGTCCACAAATTGTTTTAATCTCAGGAACTCCTTAGAGATTATTGATGACTCTAAAGAGTTTTTGTTTATGTTAGTTATAACTATTAATATTTGCTCTATTAGAGATATTTAAAATATGTACTTATTAATTCTCAAAATAGCAGTAACAAACCCATCACATACTAACATACATAACATTTTATGAAACATGAATGTATATTTAAATAGTGAGATGAATGGCATTGTTTTACATTTTTAAGTCTCTTTAATGTCAGGCTTAATAGAAGATTAAGCTACCTAGATTCTCACATCTTTTTTTGTGTACAAGCTGTTGTGATGTCCCATGGCATGCAGTCTCTGGAAAATTCTACTGTGCACTCTCCAGAGAATAAGTGAAAAAGTCAAATATCTTAGTGTTTTTATGAAAATAATTTTATTTAATTGTTTATTTTTAGTGAAATAACTGTGGCATTCTAGACCCTAAGAGGGTCTAGAGGACTCCTAAGTCCACATAGGTTAAGCACCTGTGGGTTACACAAGTTCTGTAAGAATTGAATTAATACATCTTATCCCCACTTCATGGCCACGGTTGATTGGTTTAAAGTTTGGCTCCTCACTGAAATTTTGGGCCAAAGATCCCCTCTCCAGGAATGTTACGCTTGAGATCAGTGGGCTGAAACTCAGACTCTTTTATGTGATGAATGGTCTAACTTGGGAGCCATGTTTTTCCTTTATCATGGAGAAAGCCCTTCTACAGCCAAGCTGTTGAAAGAGGCAGAGACAAGCAACAGAAGGAACATCCTGACCATGTTCAAATCCCCCAGTCTCACCGTTCTTGAAGCTTGCATACCTTCCTGTCCTTGAGTTCTGGGCCACTCTTTATTTTCTTTATGATAAATCCTGCTTTTGGCTTAAACTAGTTGGAGCTGGATCTATCACTAGCAACCAAAAGAGTCTTAATGAAGACTATGTTAGTCAAGTCTTTTTTTCCCTCAGGCTTTCCCCTGCTTTTCAATTAAAAAAAAAAAAGTAACGAAAATGCTAAAGCAAGCTAAGAAATTGCTCAATAAGAGACAAGCCTGGCTGAACTAATTCTAGTCATGAAAAGTTTAGACTGGAGCGCAGCTGATGTGAGAATCAAGCATTTTAGGTCTTTCTCTGTGACAAAAACCTTAAATTACTCTTGACAGTGTCAGTAAATCTGACTCCAAATTCAGCCACAACACAATTAAGCTCCCTGCCGCCCACCTCTACCCCAGGAGGTGGCACTTTTAGCTTCTCAAATTATAGGTACAAACAACCTTCCTCAGTTTAATCTCTCCAAGTCACAAAAGACTAGCACTGTTAACTCAAACCTCTCCAATTTTCAATAAAGGGCTTAGTGGGCCCCGGATTCAATATATTCTCAGTGACCAACAATGTGGAACCTTCCTGCTGCAGTTATATAAAAGGGCATAATTAGAGCTATAGCCTAGAGATCAGGTTTTTGAGATCTGTGTATACAATGAAAAAGAAAGGAACACTCACCCACTTACTTCTTTTTAATGTGAATTTTATAAATGTTATTGCTCTAAATAAACTGGTGTCAGGGTTCTAGAAAATTATATAATATATTAAGACTGCAGTACCTTAGGCTCAAACATCTTCAATTCTCTCCTCTCTAGAAAACACTTTAATTGCTGTTCAAGGACCAGAGGTCTTTGAGGAATGCAGTGCCTCTCTCTGGGTCTATTTGTGTCTATCTTTACAATTGCATGACCTCAGAGAGAAACTCAAGATAAGTAAGCAGCAAGAGCAGAGTTGTAAGGGTGGGAAAAACATTCAGTTATGCAACTGGTAACATCAGTAACACACTTTTGAACTGAAAGCACAATGCTAATATAAGATCCAACAAAAGCTGCTGTCCATTATTACAAAGAATCCTGAGAAAGAATTGCCCTTAGGCAGTTCAAAAGACAATGTTATATGACCCAGTAATCCCGCTTCTGGGCATATATCCGAAAGGAACCCCACTTCAAAAAGACACCTGCACCCCAATGTTCATAGCAGGACTATTTACAATAGCCAAGACATGGAAACAGCCTAAATGTCCATCGACAGATGACTGGATAAAGAAGATGTGGTATATTTATACAATGGAATACTATTCAGTCAAAAAAATAAAATAATGCCATTTGCAGCAACATGGATGTTCCTGGAGAATCTCATTCTAAGTGAAGTAAGCCAGAAAGAGAAAGAAAAATACCATGTGAGATTGCTCATATGTGGAATCTGGAAAAAAAAAAGAACATAAATACAAAACAGAAATAGACTCATAGACATAGAATACAAACTTGTGGTTGCCAAGGGGGAGGGAGGTGGGAAGGGACAGACCGGGAGTTCAAAATTTGTAGATACTGACAGACATATGTAGAATAGATAAACAAGGATATACTGTATAGCACAGGGAAATATATACAAGATCTTGAGGTAGCTCACAGTGAAAAAAAATGTGACAATGAATATATATATGTTCATGTATAACTGAAAAATTGTGCTCTACACTGGAATTTGACACAACATTGTAAAATGACTATAACTCAATAAAAATGTCTAAAAATATAAAGAAAGAAGTGAAAAAGAATATGAAAATAAATATATGTATGGATATGCATGACTAAGACATTGTGCTGTACACCAGAAATTAACACATTGTAACTGACTATACTTCAATAAAAAAAAAGAAAGATAATTTAAAAAAAAGTAGTGTTCCAAGTTCACTCGTTTAAATTGGGGCACCACTATTTTTTTAGCAGAGTCTTCAAAAAAAGTTACTAGAAAATTTTGAATGTGATGAAAACAATTTTAGTTTCCTTAACATCACTTTTTCATTTTTAAATCTGACACTGCTCTCCCTCCCCTGAACTA